TCGCAATAACCAGATTTGAAGAACTCGATGTTGCCATTCAACCTAGTTGCTTCCCCTCCTCTATCGGGAGGGCCAACAACCGCAGCCGATCGATGTCACCGGCTGCCTGCCCAGGCTTGACAAACAAAAGGAAACATATCCCCATCAAAATCATATCATACTCGAGTATAGTTGGGTATAAAAAATTAATGAGCATTTGGGAGAAGGTTCTACACAATTTCATAAAGAAAACATTCTAGAAGGATATTGTGGATATTCTATATGAAAAGTCAGTGCCCATGATCTAGAGCATAGTCTTACCAAGATATTTTATTAGAATACTTAGAGATTTTAGAATGATGCATATAAAATGGTGGCCGGAGTGAAACAGCCAAGTCGGCGGCTGCTCCTCTATAAAAATACTTGAAGTCTTCTATATGCAATGAAGGAAGTATCTCCAAGGGAGGGAGTATGTAAAAGAAGTAGGTAACATTATACTTTAACAACTTAGGTAGTATGTTCCTTATGGTTCGAATACGCCTATTACTTATCATGCAATATCATATTTTATCACAAAATAAAATAAAATAGATGAGATAATATTCCTATTTCTTTCCAAGTAAGCAACATTGGTTACATAAAGCGCATATGAAAGTTTTTCCTTATGTTGCACGGACACAGGTATGGGTACACGGGAACGCGACACGGCGACACAGAAAATCTCAAAAAATTAGGACACGGACACGGCAATTAAAATAATAATTCATACTCAATACTTCAATGTCACATAATTTCATAAAACAAAACAAATAACTCGTGTTCATCATCCATACATTATAATTAATACACCACAAAATAAAACATAAATGATCTGACTTTCAATCTTCTTCAAGCATCTATGTCTTCATTGTTGTTGTTATTAGAAAACAACACGCCCTCTAATTTCGGTTCATCAAGTGAAAGGTTTGTAATTTCAAGCATACCTGCATTTTCCAAGTTCATAGTATCAAAAGTTGTAAAGCCTAACCTGAGTTTGCAAGAAAGAATCGTCCTTCTTGGCCACGATTTCTTTTTATTATTTATTGTAGTTGGCTTTCTATTAATAAAATTGTGTTTCTCTTTAAAAAAAAAAAA